AGGGATTTTATTGAGCTGTATTTCTATGCTACCAACCAAAGCGAAGTCCAGTCTCATGATTACTACGATACAAATAAATACTCATATGACAAAAGTCAAGTAATATCAAATTGTAATACGTGGTAGCAAGGAATAAAATACCAGGACTAAGAAAAATTAAACTCCATTTAGATCGGAAGCAAATCATGATGCACTCATCATAGGCAGAGTTCCCTCTAAGCTGTGTGGCATGTGCAGCCACACTCATACCGCACTGCCAGGCGCGCCCGCACATGCCACACAGCTCGGAGGGAATGCTGCCCATAGGATCATAGGAAAGTAGGGCTGGAAGGGACCTTACAAGGTCATCTAATTCATCTCCTTGATCAAGGCAGGATCATCCCTAACCATCCCAGCCAAGCGTCTGTCCAACCTGCTCTTGAAAATGTCGAGGGATGGAGATTCCACAGCTTCTCTAGGTCGCCTGTCTCAAGGTTCGACCACCCTCATTGTCAGAAAGTTCCTCCTAATCTCCATCCTAAATCTCTGCTGTGGCTTGAGGCCATTGCTCCTAGTCTTGTCCCTTACAGCCATAGCGAAAAACCCATCTCCATTCTCTCTATAATCACCCTTCATGTACATGAAGACTTTGCAAATCCCCCTGTCTTGGTCTTTTCTTCTCCAGACTACATAACCCTAATGCTTTCAGCTTTTCATCCTAAATCTTGCTGCCCAAGCCCCTAATCATTTCTGTTGCCCTGCGCACAGTTGCAAACCAAGGGGAGTGATTCTTCCACGCAATTCAGCACCGGTGAGGCATCCCTTGGCCTACTGTGTTCAGCTCTTGACCCCAAACTGCCCATGGCCTTTCTGAAGTGTGGGGTCAAAAGCTGAACACAGTACTCCAAGGGAGGCCTCACCAGTGCTGAACTGCGTGGAAGAATCACTTCCCTTAGTTTGCAAATGACACTCCTCTTAATACGACCCAGGACGATGTTGGCTTTTTCTGTAACAAGAGCACACCGTGGGCTCATATTCAGCTTATGGTCTACTGTAAGCCCCAGGTCCTTCTCCGCAGTATTGCAGCCTAGCCAGAGCTGTTTCCCAGTCTGTATGCATGTATGCAATTACTCTGTCCTCCTTGATATGCTGCGTTCAAATCAGATTTCACTCGGCAAACAGGACCAAATGGTAAGCAGTCGATCACGGTAGCGTCCTGCGGACATTCCCACAGCTCCTTACCTTGTCGTACAGGGGAATCATGAAGTAGCCATTGTTGGGGGCACAGTCCGTTTGGTATTTCAGAGTCCCGTGCTTCGTATATAACTTAATCTACGAGACAGAAAACAAGAGGAGAAGCCATCTCATTAACCGCTCCCCGGTGACCGAGTCTGAAACAGGCCGCGCTCTCAGCAGATCCGGACATCCACCGTGCAGGGACGAGCAGAGAGCAGGGGAACCAAGCCAGGACTTGTAAGGACAATGTTTGCAAGACAGCACAGGAGCCAAACATCCTAAGGACACGCAGTGGCTGGAAGACTCCCCCAAACCAGTGCTAATCTTCAGAAACCCTCCATTTGGGGCAGGGGCAGATGGTGGGGGGGTCCCAACCGAGCACTCCCCCCCCCATCGGGAAGGCTAACGCTTCAACCGGAATTAAACGGTCGTTCGCTTGAAATGTCTTAGTGCTTGTTTGATGCATTCACTTTAAACTGGCAAATTACCCGATGACCCCCATCCATCAGGCCTCTTGTGCCCTAACCTGGGAGCTTTCTGCCGGACTCAGGCTCGGAGCCCTGTTCTCCCCGACACCCAGCGGGGCCCATCCAAGCCCTCCCTCCCCGCACCTCGATGAGCGAGTAGTTGATCTCCACGTCGGACTTGACGAAGCCGCCGCAGCCCACGACGATGTCCTCGGAGCCGCGCGCCAGCGCCCAGCACAGCGCGCACCACAGCGCTGCCGCCCAGCCCCAGCCCCGGCCCCGGCCCCGGGCCCGGCTCCGCGCCG